TACATACTTAAGTTTAATAATTTCACTTTATTAAAGGTTCCTCGTAAAGGCTCTCTGCTCATCCCTTTAAGCCAGAGAACTTCATCTCTTCCTTATCACTAGGCTGGAGAGCTACCTGGAGGCTACCAGTAGTGTTTTGCAAAACAAATGGCTTAGTAGTCTCTGAAAATTACCTTCTTGTACAGTAACTGAGCACATTATTCCACACCAGTATTTACTGTGAGGTCCAACTGATCCATCTAAATTTTTGGAGACTAATTTAACACTAGAGACTAATACATAAAAAGGCATCTTACACTCAAGAGGCAGACACTGACCTAGTTGCCCACCAAGTGCCAGAAATGTCTTATTATTCTGTAAATTATTCTTTACAACAAACTCAAGACAAAAAAAGAAGCTGTTTTGCAACCAGTCTCACCAATGGGTGAAGATATTCTATGGCGCAGGTAATCCGCAGAAGCAGCTCGAGTTGGAAACACAGGTGGGATAGGGGGAGAAGGTGCTCTTTGCGTCAGTAGAGAGGATGCAGGCTCCAAACCACCTATCAGGCCACTTAAGACATTTGATGAAGCGGGTCTGGTAATGGGTGGACCGAGAAGTTCCTAAGAATAAGCAAAGAAAGAACATTGAGTATGCTCAATTTATACAAATGAGCTCATTTCACTACACTACAGGCTCTGCTATTTATAGCAAGTTGAAGAGACAAGGTGGACTTGTGCTACTAGATACAGCAATTCTGGATTGCCCTTACAATTAGGCACTTACCCAGGTTTTTCAAGTTGTAATCATGGGAAATAGCATGACAATCAAATTTCTACTGAACTAATAACTAGTTCTCTCCTTCTGTAGAGTCATGTCTGACTCCTGATCCCACAATTGCCTTAAATAACTTCTTTGCAAATAACTTCTTTTCTCATTGTAGATATGCCTTAAAGTACCTCTGCCTGCCCATGCCCCCCCAGAATACCTGCAGAATATTCTTTGATAGAGGCTGGCCTGGCATCTCTGGAGGTGACATTAGGTGGCTCTCAAGGCTCTGCTAATAAAATGAAAACACTGTAAATTAGATGTGATTGTCTCTCGATGTGCTTGTTGTATCTACATTTGTCTCAGTAACAGAAATAATTTCCCTTGTTTTGTTTGAACCAGAATTTATGCAGTCAAAATTCCAGCAAAGTTGATGGATGAGCTGGCTCACAGATCTTCCCTAGGTAAGAAAATGCCTAGGGCTGGAACTAGATGATCTTAAGGTCCTTTCCAACCCTAACTATTCTATGATTACACACAGGTAGTTGAATGTGCCTTAATCAAGTTTGAGATATATAAGTTTATATAATTGTGTAAATTAGAGATGAAACATTGGGCCAAGTGGTCAGTTGAAACTATACAAACACTTTTCAGTTTTATTTAAGATGTATTTCTATGCATCAAAATTACATGTCAATGTAAAGTGATGTCAGAAATGAAAGTCCTGACTTAAATGTGAAATCTACAAATTCTTCACAAGGCAAGGTTACATTCTTCACTATCTTTTAGTGAAGTGGGATGAGGCTGAAAGTCCTTGGGTATAGACTCAGTTGTCAGAAGTGTTCTATGGTGCCAGTAGTAGTGATTGGTAGCTTCAGAGTCAAGCATACTGTTTAGGCAGTTAGTGGCAGGATGAAATCTTACACTGCAATCTCTTCTGGTCTAAAGCTTAGTATCATCTTTTGTTTAATAGTAACCTTTCAGGTAACAGAGATTCAGTTTAGTTTTATCTTGGTGCAGATAATTTTAAAACTCAAGTTAAAAATATTAGAATGTGCACTGACATACCTCTATTAAAACAGAGGTCACTAAAGTGAGACACCTGAGCTTCAGTTAAGCATTAGCTGTAGCGATACTACACACATTTCAAGAGATGCCTTTCAATAACAACACTAAGGCTAACATTAAACTAACACTAGCAAGTCTCCCATGAACAGCAGACCAATAAGGTCTGTTACACAGACAGTACCTTTTCTACAGATGCACTTGATTTTATTAAGCAAGGTTCAGACAGGGTGAGTTCAAGTGTAGGAGAATCTTAAACACTAATCAAAGCATCCTCTATAAAAGATTCAGCCTTTTGGTAATATAAGATGTTTTGGAGGGCAAGTATTTATAGTTTTCAAGTCCAGATATTAATCTTTTGGATTAGATATTCAAATAAATCCACTTTCAAGGTGGCAATTAGACTTCTCACATAGTGCTGCAGTTCTGGGGCTTTTAGAAACTTAACATGAAATCAACCCTGCGAACTCTGAACTGAAACACACTTAATTCGCTTAACTAAAAGGACCAAAGCACCTCCCTCACTTTCCCCTCCAAGCAACAATATTCTAGATATAAGTCTATATTTAGTATCATGCTGCTGTATCCAGTCCTGGGTCACGTTATCAGAGGGGTTGTGTAAGAGATTTCCAGTTCATAAGCCATGTCTTAGCACAGTTCATGAGAGCCAGGTGTCTGCTACTTACATTGACTTTGAGCTGTGAAGGTAGAGTCCCACTTGCCTTCATACTGCTGACTAGTTTATTAAATGCTGTCATGTCTCCATCTTTCTTGAGCTGTCTAGAGCCAGCGACATTCAATGATTCCTCCATTTGCTCTGCCATAAATGGAGTAGCAATTTTTCCTTCTTGATCCACTTTCAGACCTTTTAGCCCAGCTTCGACTTCTTCCACTGAAAGTACTACGCCTGAATGTGCTGAGAAACACAGGAGAAATAACAGTAAATCATAGTTCTCTCATGTAGGTCTTGAATATAAGTTGTTTGAAAACAAGGAACAGCCAAAAACTTATCTTCTGATATTCATACTGGCTGTCAAACCATGTCTGACTATTCATCTGACAACTTTGTTCATTTTCAATTAAGAAAGTTCCATTATCTTATACTCAAGGAGAGACAGCCAAAGTGTAAGCAATGTTAAAACTGTCTGAAGCCATCCTAAGTAGAGATAATACATACCTGGAGTATTTAGATAATTTGGAGACCCAGTTACACACTTAGTTTGATGTGTGTAAAGTTTGAAGTAGATTTTTTTTGCTCAGAAATTAAAGCCACTATAGCAAGATTTCAATGGCATAACCAGAATAAGGTACAAGTGTTATTAAGCAGTACTTTTTCCCCTGTGTGTATGCATATATAAGTATCTACGAGTGCCTGACATCAAGGCTAGACATGCTTTATGGACCAACTACACAGATCACATGGGATGACATCTTAAGAGAAAAGGAAGAAGAGACAGGAGCATGCCATGGGTTGCTGTAGCAGATGTTGGCCCAAAGAAATAAGATTTACTCGAAATTTGGGCAAGAAGGTGGAGAAAAGAAGTAATGATGCATACATGCAGTATGGAACATGAGGGAAAATATGATGTTGGTGGAGAAAAATAGACCTGAAACCTCCACAACACTTTAAGAACTGTACAGCATTTTATGGGAATACAGAACCCACATCAGGTACTTTTGAGTGAATGGAAGCTTCCTCAATTTTTTGTTCATTCATCCGTTGTTTGCAATGATCAAAGCTTAAAAAGATTTTAGTAGGAAAGTCAGACTAAGCAGAATACAGAAGACTCACACTTCTATTTAAGGCAAGTTATGAAAAGGTTCTCCACATGTTAGCTGACACTCCATACTCCCAGACTGGATGCTTAAGAATATTTGCAGTGCTTGGATGCTTTCCTTCCTAGCTACACACATCAGAGCACCAATACTTTTTGTTCCATCCTGTTTACGTGGCAATCCATGCTGCTCACCAAGAGAAACCAATTCAGAATTAGACCTTGTGATTTCAAAGAACACATGCATTTTGTACCCTCCATGCATGCTATGGGCCCAAACATGCAAATCCCTAACTTGGAGGTGCCTTGAACATTAAGTTTGAAGTCAGCCCTGAATTCTGTTTAGAACAGCTGATCATAGCAAAAGTGAATCCTAAAAGACCAAGTTCCCTAGAATCCTGTGATTCCGGCCAGGTTGGCATAACTAAGGAAAATCTGTTCCTATGTTCAGATTAATTAATGCACTCAACAGTGAGCACAGACACTGTACTTCAAGTGGTAGCAACAGTCTGGAGAAGTTTACAGTATGCATTTGAAAAAAATTGACATCCTCAACCCACTGTTCATCTTTTTAGATACTGATACTTGATGAACCACATTGGTCCGTTACAGATGCTTGCAAGAATGACTTGCACTAAGGTTTTAGTAGATCCATTATAGATGCTTTGCAAGAATGACTTATACTAAGGTTTTGGTAAACCCAGAGTTTAAATGCCACAGTTTCAGAGCTGACATTACCATTCTCCAATCTGAAAAAGTTATATAAATGACACAGACAAAGCTGGAAACTCAGATCAAGACTTACATCATCTTAACTTATGATTATTAATGGCCAGTAAAGCAGTCTGATAGAGTCCTGATGTCATCCTGTGAGTAGGATGAAAAGAATCAGGGATGATATTGACACAACTGAGACCTGTTGAATATTGGGTTCCCAGTAGTGTAAGTAAACCTATTGTACTTCCTACTCCTGGACTCAGCAGTTGAAGTTTCCAGAATACCAAGCCTCTTGCCTTTAGATACTGCACCACCAGAACTTGACAATATCTGAAGAGGCACTTACTGCTCTCTCTAAGCTTTTCCTTGTTGGCTGAAAGACTTGAGAGAAGAGGTTTTAAGTCCACTTTGGCTTTCTGTAGCATTTCTAGGATGTCCACTTTGTTTTCAGAGTGGTCTTCCAATGGAATGGGAGCAAAGTAGTTTCCAGAGTTCTGGCCAGGGGACAGAATGGCTTGCTCTAGACCTGAAACAGCAAAACCAGGAGCACTGCGACATCAGTTTACCAACCCAATGTCTCAAGATGAACATACACTGGTAACCAATACGTCACTGACAAGTTATGCCTTGCACCCCTTGCCCAAGATCAGCTGGGAAGACATCAGAAAGCATGACAAGAACATTTATTAGAAAAGAATTTACAAGCTGCTGCTTGCTCTAGGAGCTTCGAGAAGAATGTCAAGAGCTTAAACTGGGAGAATGCACTATCCTAAGCTTTATCTGCCATGTTTTTATTGAACCAGTAGGAAGGTATATGGAAGGAGGCTATCTGACCCAGTCTTACCTGCTAGCCTCTCCAGTTCCTCATGTGGTGTAGATCTCAAGCTGCTTGACCGACTTCCAGAGCGACTAGGATTAGAAAACCACCTGCATGGCAGACACTGAGCCTTCCCCCAGCACATCCTCTATCATCTAGATTAGGGAGGGAAAAGATAATCTTTTTTGAAGCAAGATCAGCAACATCTGAGAAGCTTTACTGTGCAACCAAGATTATCCTCCTACAGATAACTTGATGCTGTTCCAAAAGTTTCAAAGCTTTGAACTGCCTTTTTTTCCTTCCAATAAGGCAACATTTGTGTAGCATAACCCATCACACATCTTTTATATATACACCAAATACTTGTTCAGAGTAAAACTGTAACTGAAACAGCATAATCGGGGCATCCAAAGACCACTAAGTACACCATTTCAAAGTGGATGTGCTCTAAAAGAGACATTTGCCACAAGAACAAGAACAGATTATAATGCTGAGTAATTCTGGGAGTCAGATGGCTCAGGGCTGGTCCCTGTCACTGTACAGGAGTAGTTCTCTGATCCACTGGATTTTCTGCAGTCATGATTTAATTCAGTTCCTGCACTGCCCAAGGACTGAAATGAAGTACAAAGACTACCCCCTGACTTGCAAGTGTCCTAGAAGGGCTGGAGAAGGCCAGTAGCTAATGAGCCAGTGCTCCTTGCTTGCACTTCACATGCTGAACCATTCTGGGAATAAGGTTGCATTCTTCAAGTCAATGGAGTCTGCATCAGCAGTTAGCACCTTCCACCTCTGGGCAGAACTGAGGTCACCAACCAGCACTTCACAGTCTGGCAAAAGTCACTGCAGTTTATAGCAACTGTTCACTTCTTTGGCTTATAAGTATTTAAAAACTAGGACATTATAAAATTGAACTCAAACTAAAGCTTCTCCTATCTTGCATCCAGTTAAAAGTTTGCTCAATAGGCACCATGCAGCACATTTACTTCTAGACAAAAGAACAGCTTCCTTCTGCCACAGAAGCTGTTTGCTATGAAACACGGGGCACTCAACACTACTTACAACAGTGAAACCAAGACAGTATTAATCCATTTGGTTTTGACTGTTTGAATCTGACACATTAGAAGAATTAAGACAGTTAAGTCAGGAAATGTACAAATCTACTCTAGCACTTGTCATGGACACATCACCAAGACAAAGAAAGAGCATGACAATATGCTCAGGCTAGGTGACTCAATTTTTTTTAACAGATACCTGCCTACTGAAGTTACATTAACGGGTATTTTGTGACTTGTGAATTCCCTGCTTTTGAAAGGAGACACCATCTTGCTGATACACTGAAAATGAGATTGTCAAGTCTAATGACACACAATTTATATCTTCTATAGGGAGAACAAACTCTTCATTATACATTTGTCAAATTACTGCCACCATATAATGAACCTTTTTAATGCAAGCAGCTATTTCACATTAAAGACGAGGTAAGGCGTTTTTTTTTTTTTTTAAACTTTAATGTTTCTAAACTGTATCAGATCAGTGTCTTTGCTGTCAGGATACAATTTAGAAACAAACCACACTTTTCAATAATACACTAAGCCTTTTTACTCAAATTCCATCTACTGATCAGTTATACCATCTAGAACAGTCAAGAATAGCTTTTCTTCCTAGTGATGGAAAGGTCAGAACAGAATCAGCAGTTCACAAGTTAGGCTTATGCTTAGTCAGTACTTGCTGGACCTGCTTTGCTCTTCTTGTGGTGAAAATAAAAAGCACATAGAAAAAACCAGAGAGACTGGTTACAGCTTTCATACTAAAAAGTGAACACCAACAGTCCACTATGACCTCTAGAGATCAGGTGTTCAAGAGCTGCACACTATCAACAGAAGTACCAGAATCCGCATCAAATCATGGCTGCAGGTTAAAATCCACACTGGAAAATACTTGCGGTGTGTCAGTCTTCATGGTCTTGCTACTAGCTCCTAAGTACCAGTAGCATCCCACATAGGACTTAGCTAGACAAGAGTATCTACTAGTGTCATAAACAACATTGTTTAAACAATCAGTAGGCTATGTTTTGCTAACTCTGTAGTAATAGCTTGCAATAATGCATTGATCACTATAGAGAGGTTTAAATAGCAAAGATTCAAACCTTTTCAGACACATCCTTTCAGCCACATTACTGGTACCAGTAAGAACCCAACTATATGTCAGTGACCATATTTGTCAGGTATGCCCAGGCTTACAGCCTTCCAGGAAGCTTGAACAGAACATCCATTTGCTGTGATTCCCAGACTTAGCTGCAAAAGGTTGTTCTAAGCTATATTAAATTTGTACAGTGAACCTTCTCTGAACATATCTATAATGCTTCCAAAGAAGATTTATCCAGGATGCTTTTTTGAGTCCTCAAGTAGAGATCAAAGAAAGGATAAATAATCAACTAGTTTGCCTCATATACCTTCTTTGGAGCCAGCCCCAGGGATAACACTTTAGAAGCAACATCCTAAGACTCCAAAGCTAAATCTCTACATCTTAGATTTACACACCACATAAAGCAACTTCCACAGAGCAACAAGTTTTAGCTTTCACTGAATGCAGCAGCAGCAAAAATGCTTCTTATGAACACAGTCAGTTTTAAAAAGAAAATCAAAAAACCCTCACCGAAGCCAGGCCAGGAACACTTTTATCCAAGTTAAAGAACTCATTGAAGTCAAACTCTCCTGGAGCTGGTTCTTGTAAAACAGCTTCCCTAGGAACTTCTTGATCTGCTGGAGTTTCATTGGCAAGGACAGTTTGCACTTCATCCTCTTCTGCCACTCCACCATTGCATTCTATCCCTTAAAAAGAAAAATCAAGTGATTGCCAAGTCACTGAACTTCACCGTTTCCTGTGGAAACAATGCCTTAACAGTCAATGCATTTGCCTAGGAATTAGAAGCATAGGACCAATCTAGCCACCTATGTGATACTTCACCAGTTACATTGTGCTGGCTGTAGTCTGCCACAACAGAAACTAGCACCTACTAAAACTCCTAGCACAGAGCTTCTGGTCTGTAATTAAGACTATCTACTTCAAGAAAATAAGAACTGCCATTGAATCATGCGTAAAGAACTGCATCCTAATCAACCCAGGAAGTATGAAGAACATAACAGACGTTAGGTCACATCAAGGAGATATAGCCGTGGCAGTAAGTTAAGAGCTGTTGCTGTTTTTCCATCAAGAATCCTGCCAACAGCACCTGCCTTCTTCCTATGTGCCCCTGAGAGCAGATTCCCCAAGAACTGGTATTTGACATGAATTCTTTTTATTGCCAACACAGGACAAATATTGCTCCTACTCCTCCAGCAGGAACAAGTCACATGTCATTTTGAAGACTCAACAAACTAGCACAGGTGCTGTAAAAAGCTGTGACAATTACAAACCTAGCATGCTTGAAACTGTACCACATCTTAGCTAAGTGAATACATAACTAAACCTGAACTCCTCAGGTTTAGGTTGTCCACCTGCAGAATTTCTAGCATTAAAAAGTAATTTCTCTTGCCTCAGAGAAGTTTACACTACAGCTTTGCAGTGGTAGTAATCATTGTAGACCTGAAGTCCAATGACAGCAGACAAATTCAGATAGCCTCCAAATTCAGCTTTAAGCTACATTACTGCCAGCTGTTAAGTCCAATTCAGTGTTCCTAATGATAGTATTACTATAAGGAAAAATATTTGAAGTATCTGAGGGTATTAGCTTAGTTTAAACCAAGCCTTTAGCACCAAGCAGGACACAGAAATGGACAAGACTTTTAATAGCCTACAAATGCCTGATATTCAACACCCATACAAGGTTTCTTCCCAGCCTCTCATTCCTGCCTTTCTTTGAGAAAAATAGTATTTTATCACTTAAAGGTATTTGCTATCTGAAAGATTACTTATGGGCCTTACATCTTCTGCTTCAGGATGACCAAAAGCTTAAATTTAAAGTGCAAGTTAAAGATAAAGGTTGGTAAACTGCATTATCCTTTACACTTGCTTGATCTGTAACAGTCACACTTCTACATCCAGCAATATGCCTCGCCAGCAGACAAGCAAAGCTTTTGCCAGATTTGCCATTACCTTCTTTCAGTGAGGTCGTGCGTCGTCTTGTACGTTTTCTACCTTTGTGGTCTTCCTCCAAAATTTTATCATCGAAGCCTGTGAGCTCAATGGTTTCAGACTGACTTGTAGGACCAGCAGAGAACCATTCTGGTTCCTCTTCAGTGTACGAGTCATTCCTCCTTCGCTCCCCAAAGACACGTTTGCTGTCACCAAACTCCCTCTGAAATGGGATGTTAAAAATATTAACCATAAAATGCTGTTTCATAAGATTCCTCCCTGACCTCCAAAGCAAGTGATGGTGTTTTCACACCAGTTCTATTTTTCTTTTCTAAATAAGGTTAATACATGTACTCTGTGTGCTCAGTAAGTTTTTAAATTTTAAGCTTTACAGTTGAATTTCTGCTTCATTACACTGAAGGCTACTGGTCTGCAAGTATCTGTATAAACTCAGTTTTGTATCCTGAGAGTTAGGCTAGTGGTTCCTGCTTTAAAAGAAAAATAGAAATGCCTGAAAGCATGGAAAGCTTCCATCTGCTGAGTTTAAGACAACCCCTCACTGACAACTACAAATTAACTATTAGACATTCGAGTATCTTGCTGTTAAGTCCACCACAGGCAAGGTTTGTGAAACACACCGTATTAGGTGCATCCCAGCTAAGCTGTCTAAAGGACTGAAAACTTATTTTTAAGCACTGAGTGCTCTCCCTTTACATTATAAGGGTGCTTTTAAGAAATGGCCTACTTGTGTGGAACACAGCTGCTGCATGCAGTCAGCCTGCCTCTGTTGCTTTTAGAGCAAAGTGTCCAAACCCTCTGACGTAACATGCAGTCAGCGAAAGAAAGAACAAACCCTGAAGCGTTTGTCTTTGTAGTCCCTCTCTCGATCACGGTCTCTTGAATCTCTAGAGTCACGTATGTCCTTCTCACCACCCCGGTGGTCTTTGTCAAAGTTACGAGAAGAGATTATTCTTCCACTGCCAATCCTACGGCCACCGATAACACGGACACCATCATTCTCCTTTTCTAATGGGCTCCCTGAGCGCCGTGAGCTAACAGCTGCAGTTACATGACAGCCACCTCCAAAGCTTCGTCTTTGTGGGCTTAAGACTACATCCAAGTCATCTTCTTTCACTCGCTCCCTTGGATCTACAAGTCAAAGAGCAGACAAAAAGCACTGAATTTAATGTATTGGTAAATACAAGCTAGTTCTCTATGTAACAACCTTCTGTTCCACAGACTCACTGCTATTCCAGAGCTTTTTGAAGGAAAACACTCCGGACTTACTTTTGCAAAGCTAATCTAGCCAAGACCACAGCAAGTGCAGAGGGGGAAAATAATAATTAAATTTACAGTTGGATATTGAGGAATCACTGCAGTCTCCTTGGAAGTACCTGTTTTCCTACTACAGACCCAAGTATTCAAATCTTGAATTGTAGAGAAATTGCACCCAGCACTTGCATTATTACAGATGTATTTACTATCATATAGCAAGAATAGTAGGATATAATAACTGACTGCTACCAACATTTGTTCTTAGATAACCATTACCAAAAACTACAGTCAGGGCAACCACGACTTCCTTGACACTTATTCTGTGCAATCAAACAATTAGAGACTGTGTCATACCAAAGGAAAGGTTTTGCCAATGGCCTGTGCTCAGTTTTGAGTCTTGTGCTCTAAGAATGCACTTACCTACTATCCTACGCATAAGAGAAGTCCGATCTGAATCCAAATCTTTCTTAAAGCTTTCCACTGGTGAAGTTCTTCCTGAAGTTGGATATAAAGATGCATGCCACTTCTCTGGATCCCACACACCATCACTATGAAAATAAAATTACAGGGTTGTTTGCTACCTTGGAGTCTAACAGATAGCTCATAATACCACTGCTGAAAACCTAGAATTTACTGACAAGCAATCTGTACAAGTGAAACAGCTTTCATACCCAGCTTCTAAATCTCTGCCTTATTATACTTTATTACCTTGTGCACAGTATTCTGGATCCCTTCTGTAACAGTAAGGATTTATAATACTCAGAATCAGATCATAAAAGGGACAACATGTGATTTGGTGAAGTTTGCCTGGTACACGGAAAAACTAACTCAAGTAGATCATAGAACTGTACACTGTTGTTTCTCATTAGAAAATGTTACCTCAATCTCATACTTACTTGTACAATAAATGAATCCAAAAAGTAAAGATACTGCTGTTTAGCAAATTAATAAACAAGCCAAGAACATTCTCACCTTGATTTTTAAATGAGGTACTGTCAACATGGGAGAGTAATCCGTCAAGCAAATCAGGTTGTTGCAACATGACCTAGTTGGTCTGTGCTATACACCCATCTATATTCTTGGTAGTTGTCCTGTGGGTCTTAAGACTTGTGTTGTGTGAAGTTATTTTCTGCTGGATCTTATGTTATAATCTTTGTTCAAAGCACAGAATTCCTAGCTACTGCATTAAGCCTTTCCTAATAGATTAGTACCTCTGGAAATGCTGTCATATGCTAAACTTATGTATCTTGCATCAGCATAAGTGCACTTAGTGAAGAATTTTTTGCAATTTAAGCTTTCATTTTGAAAGAAATGTATATAGTTTTTGCATGATCAAGATAATACCTGTCATATTTTTCAGAAAGACAAGAAGGTCTTTGCTTGGAGTAGGGACGCTCTTTAATATCCAGCAGTTCCTCCTATTAAAAAAAAAAAAAAAAAAGGCAAGAAATCAGTTCCAATTCTCACCTAGACAAGATTCAAGTGACAAAATCTCTGTTCCAGACTGCCTGTTCAATGTAGTGTTTTAATTTGACAACCTAAGTTTCCCAATTTCACATCCTGTGAAATGCCAAAGTGTAAAGCTGACATTAGACAGCAAGTTTATTTTTCAGTTCTTCTAGCAGTGGCCACTGAGCAAACACTTATTTGAAGCACTAAGCCTCCCTAGGTCAAGCTCAGTCCTTCAAAGGCTGTTCACATCATACATGTTGACCTATTCACTTCCTCGGACAGTTTGGCTTATAGGAAGGGCTAGCATCATTGATAGTGGAACAAGTAAGTTCAAGATGAAATCAATATTGCCATGTTTAATGCTCTATGAGTTCCAGCAGGTAAAGAAAAGCATTACCACCATATCAGTTACTAATGTAAATCTGGAAATTCCAGACAAGCTTGCCATTTCTCACTACTACCCATTCCAAGACATATAAGTGTATGCTATACAATTACCCACTCTACCCGACACCAAATCAATGCTGAATGATTACTACAGTTTTCCCACTTTCCACCAGCTTTCAAATACAGCCTTTAGTTTACTATTAACACACTCCTGAGCAGTTAGTCATTTGAGGCAGAGTAGTAATCAATCTATAGCCTCACTGCAGTTTGCTCCATTTACAAAGCATTATTAATGGTGTGACCATTGGTGCTTTGAATCATCATCGGCTTGACTGCAGTCAAGATGCACATTTCTGATTAAAAACTTACTCTTTCTCCCTAGATTACCTTTCTTCAATCTGCCTCACTCCCAACTGTACTGAAGTGATTCAGAACTGTGCAGATATCAGTGCGCAGCTGGAAGGCTAAAGAGATCCAAAGAGCAGACACCACGTATCAGCCAAACTGAAGATGAAAATCTCTCTACCTTTTCCCAAATAATAAAATATTGTGTAGAGCTTTTATATTATTATCCTCATATGATTAAAACCAGCTCATTAACTAGATGAGCTTGATACTTGAAAGTTTCCAGATGGCAGCTTGGTAGCCAGACAAAAATCTTAATATGCACACACACACATATATATATCCAAACATCACCCTGTACTAGTCTTCAGCAAAAAAGGGAGGGAGACTGGTCTCTCTGCCCATAGTTTCCCAAAATAAACCAGTGCTGTAGTACGTGCATCGATTTATGATAGTATTACAAGTATTAACAGCACTGTCCATCACTAAACTTGAAATCGCCTGTTTTTTTGGCCACGAGAGGGAGTCTCGTGGCCAACATAGACTCTCCATCAGATCCTATTGCAATTCTTCCATTGGGGTGAGGAAAATTTGAATTCTTTCTTTGCTTTAGCTCATTAGCTGTGCAACCCTGGAGCATCTAAAGAACTAGAAAAGACACAGCTTGGACTAAATAACACCCCTCATATTAGAGGATACTAATGCTAGCACTTCCAAGATGTTTTGGGGTTGTTTTCACTAATTCACACACCAGTACTTAAAGCCAGTGGGGGAAAAGCATGTTTTATTCAAACAGTTCAGAAGGATTCCTACTATGAGCTAATTGTTTTTCTACTGGTATTAAAGAAGATAAACTTAAAGGAAATCAGTCCCTTTCCAAAATCAGCAGCACATGTCCTGAACTAGTGTTCCTCCCATCCCTAATCAGTAGGAAACTGGATCATATGAGAGTACTTTACAATGTAATTACCTGAGCACCTCAAACCAGCTGCATCTCAGATGCTGCTTGTAAAATAAAAAACACCCACCGAACACCAAACAAAACAAAAAAACAAACAAGACTATAAAAAGCCCCAAACATATGATGCAAGATCTTTTAACACAGACTTATTCCTGGTGTTTAACTTTAGACTCCTTGGAAACCAAAAGATAAACAAGACTAGATGTCTTCTGGCACTAGCTCTGCCACTTTATCCTGATCAGAAACAATAGGTACCAAATTAACAAAAGCAAAGCTACAAGTGCACCTGTTTCAGTGTACAGGTATCACCAGCACTAGCTGAATACTGCCTAAAAAAGCAAACAGAATATGAAGCTGCATTCAGTTACCAGTCTTGAGAGGAGCTGGGCAAGACTGAACTAGCACAGACACCACTTCTCCAGCAGTGAAAGTCTAAAGACAGCTCTTCTTCACATTATAGTTAACTGAATAACAAGGTCTGAGCAATAGGATACTTTGCATCTTAGAAGTGTACATCTTCTCTAAGAAGTTAGGTTAGAAAGTCATGCTACTCCCACATAAGTTACACCAAATCCAAGGCACTTTGTTTATTGTTGATGTCTAGGTCAAAATAAGCCAGCCGTACTATCTCAACAGAACAGAGACACAGCGATAACTTCTTTTTCTTCTTTTGAAAACCACCTACTAGGAAGCTAACAGCTCAGAATTCCTCAAGATAACACAGTCAGCAACAGCACGCTGTCTCACCCTGTTCCACACTTCAGGTCATTTGTTGCAAAGTATCTTAGCAGATTTCCACAAAGCAAGGACCACCTGTTCCCACAGCTTTCAGCAACGGGAAAAATCGCCATGATTAAAGGCTCCTTCTAAAGGCAAGTTTCAGCAGTGGGACCAAAACCCCAAACGAGCTTCAAACTTACATATATTCAAACCCACAGCATATCAAGCTCACTTAGTATTGAAAGAATCCCTGTTTACAAGTTACTCAGTTATTGCTCTTCCACACATGCATGTATTTAGGTATCACAGCTAAACAAAAGCACCTGTGTCAAAGTTTTAACACTAAGCATTAGTTGGAATCATAAGTGCTTAGGCTTCTAGCACCCGAACAAGAGCAGTTTTAAGATTACAAAAGCCACCTTAGTAAACACATTAAAGCTCCTGATAAGATCTAGTGTGCTATATGTTCCAAGGAAGTGGCATCTACTGTAAGGAAACATTCTGGTCAACTTCTTAAAGTAGCATTGCTGAAAACTAACCAGAACTATGAAGCCCAGGTGCTTAAGCAAGCTGGTAGAACAACATACTTCAAGTCCCTAACATAATCTCTCCAGCACATGCTGTGAGGTGCTCAGCTATTAAAACCGGTATTAAAACACGGTATATCAAGGACAGGATTGCACAGCTATCTCACATTTAACACCATCTTGCAAATCCCAATCCAGGCAAAGGCTTTCCTGCCTTCCCCTTAGTGCTTCCCTCCCACAGAACCTGCACCTCCCACTCTACTTCTGTGACCAAGAGCTCCTTGCACAACTCAGAGGGGAGGAGAGAGAGCCCACCTTTGTGTAACGATGTGGGTATTTTGTTGTAATTCTGTTCAACTCCAGGAAAGCATCACCATTTTCAGTCTCTGTTATGCCTCCTCTTTTATCCATGATTACTTCAAAGCCTTTGACCACGGACCTAATTAAAACAAAACCAAGCCATCAGATTTTGAGCCGTACATTTCCAGAGGGTGCCTCTTCCTTCCAGTCAGACTATTTGGTACCTGAATACACCAGATAAGGAGCACGTTTTCCAACACCGCCTTATTTCTGCCTGTAGCTTCCCCGCTGCAACCAAGCAGCTCCCACTTAAGTGCCCGACCCGCTCCCGACGCCCGGCCGGACCGGCCCCGCGCCCAGACCTCAGCCCAGCTCCTGAACCCTTTAACACAACAGAGATCCTTCCGTGGGCACGACCGGGAGCAGCAGCGGCGACCGTCAAGGCCGGGGAAGCGGGGCCG